CTCCTCCTCAGCCGCCCGGAGCGAGAAGCCAACATGGAGCCTGAAGATCTGCCGTGGCCTGGCGAGCTGGAGGAGGAGGAGGAGGCGGAGGTGGCGGCAGCGACCGCGGCGCAGACGGATAGGGCCCCGAACTCCGAAGAGACCGTGATGGGGAAGGTGGAGGAGGTGAAAGAGGTGGAAGAGGTGGAGGAGGAGGCGGGGCCGGGGCCGGAGCGGGAGCCCGAGCGGGAGCCCGAGTTGGACTCCGGCTTAAACTACCAGTACCAGCCACTGGAAAGTACGGACGACGAAGAAGATGAGGAGGCCAAGGCTTGGCTGCTGGCACGCCCCGGCGTGACTTTTCCCCCATTGCCACCGCCGAGGCCGCGCTACTCACAGAGCGAGAGTACCTCTTCTGAGGTGAGGCGGCCGCCGTGGGGTGTGGGGCGGCCGAAGGGTCGCGGGGCCCCAGGGCCCTGAGCGCGCTGCTCTGCGCGCGGCTTGTCGCGGGACCTGACAGCTAAAAAGCGCGCCTTCCAGGCTTGTGGGTGTATGCTCGCCTTCGGGTCCCCGACTCCAGCCCAGGTGTTGTCCTACTATTGCAGATCCCCTGTTCTTTCTCCTGTTTCCTCCCTCTGGTTGGGTCTCGGGTCTTTTCAACTAGGACAGATGTTCGGGGGAGCCAGTATTTCCCAGGTGGTATAGTTAAAAGCTTTAGAGAGCAGGTGGGGCTTTTTGTGCCCCGGGGAAGGGAAAAGGGCGGCGTAGGACTGGGGGGAGAGAGTGGCCGCACTGGGAATTACTTGCGAGGAGATAATTAGCAGATGAGTTTAATTGAAGAAATATTTAATTTCTTTAAATAAAGAAATAGAGTGAATGTGTTCTCTGCGTCATCTGGTGGTCTTGCCAGGCTTCCTGCAGACTGTGTTTTTTCCGGACCCCCATTTATATCAATAAATGTGCCCCCAGCTTTTGGGAGGGACTTAGAATGCAAGAGATTTGGGATACAGCCCCAAACACAGTGTAATTCAGAATAGATAAAGAGCTTTTTGTGGTTGGTCCGCAAAGATCATTTTGAAAGTAATCATACATATAATTTATTGCTTTACAAGAAGACCTGTGCTGTTCACCGGAACCACTAGCCACCTGTGGGTTTTGTATCTTAGTTAAGAATAAATAAAGTTACAGGGTTTGGAAGGCGTTGTTCAGTGGTGGAGTGCTTGCCTAACATGTATAAGTCTCTGGGTTTGATCCCAAGCACGAAATTGGGGGTGAGGGATAAAATTAGACATTCAGTGTCTCCATTGTTTTAATCACTTGTCAAGTGCTCTTTAGCCATGCTTGATTAGTGGTTAACACTGGACAGAGCAGAAATATATAGACCAGTTCCATCTCATAGACCAGTTCCATCATCACAGAGATGCTCTAGACTGGTGATCAGTAAAGAGCAGTTGTTGTTTCGCTTGGTAAACATTCCAGGGGGTATGTAACTCATTATGCAAATATTATTAAGAATTCACCATGCGGCACACATTGCTGGATGCTAAGGAAACCTTGATGAGCACATACATTTTTGGTCCCTACCTTCCTAGTGTTCGGAGGCTAGAGAGGGAGGCAGATAAAATTCAGATGATCACATAAAAGTAAAACCCATGTGATGCTAAAGTACTATGAAAGTAATTATTTTAGTATTTGTTAAGGTAACCTGGCCTTGTCAGTGAAGGTGGAGAAATTCCTTGAGAAGGTTATGATAAAACTGATATCAGAAGACAGACTAAGGTTAACTAGACAAAGCACAAGAAAGAGCCTTTTAGTTGAGGAAGAAGCATGAAGAGAGATAATGTTGGTTGGAGTAAGCCTGGCATTTTCAAGGAACTAAAGGCCAATGTGGTTTGAATACAGACTGCAAGGCTTTGTGTGCTGTGTCCGGGATTTAGGGGCTTTATGCTTGGAGATTTGGGAAATCAGTGAAAATGTTTTAAACAAAGGGGTGTATAATATTTGTGCTTCAGAAAGATCACTGTAGCAGAGTGAATTGCTGTGATAGCAGGGTGGCTTAGGGAACAGCAGTGATAAAAGGCACACTAATTAGGAGGCCACTGCAAAATTGCCATGCAAAGATAATGATATTTTGGAATAGGAAAGTATTGATATAGGGGAAAAGTGGACAGATTCAAGAGGTACTTTCAAAGCAAAATCTTCGCCCCTAATGGATTGGACAGGACATGTCCATGAGTTAGGTTATAGAGTAAATGCTGTGCTAATATTGAGATATGGCCAAGCTTATGGTGGGTTGGTGGCCATGGGGAAGGTAATGGAATTGGTTAGGTGACTGCTAAGATTATTAATTTAGTTTTGAAGATTAGAGGAGAGGTTCTGACTGGAGATTTTATATTGTAAGTCATCTACACTTAGACTATAATTGAAGCCATATTTTTTTAAATAAATGTTTTCTTTTAGTTGTAGATGGACAGAATACCTTTATTTTATATACTTGGTTTTCTTTTTTTTTTTAATGTGGTGCTGGGAATTGAACCCAGGGCCTTACGCATGGTAGGCAAGCGGTCTACCATTGAGCTATAACCCCAGTCCCTGAAGCCATACTTTTGAATGAAGTCTTTTGTTTTATGACCCCTTGTTTGAATAATGATGAATATTTAAATTTATACCTTCAGGACTTCAGTAGGAATTCTAAATGAACTCATTACAGACAGTGTAAGAAAATTATAACAGTGACTTATCTGTGTATTAGAAGAATCTTGCTTCTTAGAGACCAGTGTTTCCCCCAGGGGTTTTTTGTTTGTTTTTGTTTTTTAGAGAAATCAATTATTATTTCCTTAGAAAATATATGAAGATGTAGGTGGTCTTCTGTATTAAAGACAGTGTTAAGGGGATGTAATGAGTATTAAGCTAACTTTTCCTTTAGTTCACTGACATGAAAACTTATTGGCATAAGTTGGAAAGTGTTTAAAGGAATAAAGTTCAGTGTTCCTTGCTAGAAATTTATGAACTATGAATTTTTAAATTTTTATTTTGCAATGCCAAGGACCAGACTCAGGCCCTTGCTTATACTTAGGCAAGCACTCTGCTATTGAGCTATACTCTCAGTTCTGAAATTTTTTGAAGATATATTAGTTGTGTAGCATTTAGTGCAGTATAAAGTGTTCAGAGGATGAGATCAAATAATAGGAAACATTAATTTCACTTAATCTGTTCAAAGTAAATAATAAAATTCTAATACTTGATTTCCTCTTTTACACATCTCTCACTAGGTAGGAAGGGTGTTTTAGTGGTGGTTTAGTGGGCATTAATTAAGTTTCTAGTCCTGTTATTGAGACTGAGATAAGCCACGGAACTGTTTAAATCCAAAGCAAAATGTTACCAGTGTAAGTCTTTTTTAAGAGTTCAAGGAAGTGAGGGATTCAGAGCCTTTACTGTTTTTGTTTTCATGCTGGTCCCCTAAATACCTGAGCCAGGCTGGCGAACATAATTCATTGTGGACTGTGTCACTAGAATTTATTAGTTTTCAATTTTAACTGAGTTATAGACAGTGCTTGGTAATCTGTTTCCTCTGTCAGCCTCCAGCACTCTTCACTGTTATTCTCAAGCCCCCACTCCAGCAGATTACTATTTCACAGATGAGAGAGAGAATACAAGACTGAACCTTTTACCTTGTTGGTATTATGCCATTTTCATAAAAGGCCTAGGATGTTTTATTAGTCTGTGTCCTGAATTGGTTTAAATCTATGTGAATTTTCCCCTTAGTTTTGAAATTTTTTCACCAGTGAAACTATGCCTCTGGATTCCTCTCAGGGTTATAGTTTAGATGCACTTTCTTTTTCTTTCATTTTGGTACTTTGTGATTTTCTAGGAAGGATTTCTAATTAATGATAATGGAGTTATTAGTCTTCAATTTTAACTGAATACAGTGTTCTTTATTTTTCAATTTTATGTAGTTATTTTCATTTCTGATTTCTAATTTTGTTTTATTTTTCTCTTGATTTGAGTTGGTAGGGGTTTATTTTTCACCCAAGGAAGCAGCTCTTGAATTTAAGTTTAATGCTATTGCTTTTCATTTTTTAATATAATAATTTTATTTTCATATTTTACTTTTTCCTTATGTTTGCTTATATTTTTAAACCTATTATGTCAAGGGCTTAATTGTCTTACTTAAAAACATTTTAACAGCTTTATTGACATATAATTCACATACCACACAATTTAACATGATAATTCGGAGCTTTCAATATATTCATAGATAGGTTCCATTATTATCATAGTCAATTTTAGAACATTTTCCTCACTTCTGAAAGAAATATTGTACACTTTAGATAATATCCCCCATCTTTCATTCTCCTGAGCAACCATTATTCTATTTTCTGACTCTGTAGATTTGTGTCTTCTGTGTATTTCATATAAATGGAATCATACTGTTTGTTTTTTTGTGACTTACTTCTTTCACAGCATAATTGTTTTCAGGATTTAGCCGTGACATAGCATGTATTTTTTTCATTCCTTTTTATGCCTGAATAATGATATATTGTGTAAATAAATAATATTTTGTTTATCCATTCATTAGCTGATGAACATGATTTTTTTTCCCTCCCCATCTTTGTCTGTTAGAAATGCTGCTGCTGTCAATGTGTGTACAAGTTTTTGTGTGGACATGTGCTTTCATTTCTCTTGGGTATATATCTAGGAGTAGAATTGCTGGTACAGGTGGTAATTCTATATTTAACCTTTTAGAACCTAACAGATTGTCTTTCAAAGTGGCTACACCATTTTATTTTCCTACTAGCAGTGTACATGAATTTTAGTTTCTCCACACTCTCACTAGCACTTGTTATCTGGCTTACTGATTATAGCCATACTAGTATATGTGAAGTGGTACCTCATTGTAATTTTGATTTGTATTTCCCTGTGGCTAATGATGTTGAATATCTTTTCATATGCTTATTGGTCATTTGTATACCTGCTTGGTAAAAATATTTAGATCTTTTGTCCATTCTTTTAAAAAAAATTTATTTTTTATTCTTTTTAGTTAAAAGTGACAGTAGAATGTATTTTGACATATTATACATAATGGAATGTAACTCCCCCCCTCTTTTTTTTCTTTTTGAAAAAAAGAAACAAGGTTTATTGCTTTGCTAGCAAAGGAGAAACAGAGGGGACTCCTGTTCCAATGATTGTGATTCTGCCCATCAGCAGGAACAGGGGGCTATTAAAGAGGTGACACAAAGGCTACATTCTACATGTTCTCTGTCTGAAGTTGTAATTCACTTGTTAATTTGGGAGATAGTCATTTTTAAGATCTTCTGGTACCATCCCTAAAGTCTGTATTACTTGTTTCTATGGTGGGTGTGTACTCAGGGACAGATAACTCTGCCTAGGATGGGAAAGAAAGGTAATCCTGTTTTCCC